CTCCGGAAATATTTGGAATATCCTAAATATCAAAGCGGCATTTTGTTAAGCCTCAAATTACGCAGCTTTGCCCCCATTTAACCAACCCTGTATATCTTACCGTTTCCGAGATCCCAATGATGTGGCTCGAATCTGAAACACCCTATACATACAAAGGAAGGAACATGCAACAGGCGAACAAAGTCCACTGTGTTAACTATTTTCTTGACCAATGAAAAGATAGTTTTTCGACACACATCAGAGGATTTTATTATTTTTTCATATTTTGAAGTGTAACTTTTTAGGCAGCGGTCTGAGATTTGGACAACAATGGAGAGTGATTTGAGAAACGCGTCACGGGCAAATTTCGTTACTCGAGAGAGAAGAAAGATATAACGTAAAGAGACGGAGAAAGACAGCTATTGATGGACACAAACCAAGGAATTAAAATTATTGAAATATGTATTATCAGAAATGATATTAGAAGCGGAGAAAAACAGCCATTGATTGCCACAAATCAAGCTTTATAAGCGCAAAGAGGATTGCCTATTGTGAAAGTATTCGTACTCTTTACTCGTACTTTTGCGATTACTACCCGTAACCGTAAACCGCCTATATAAAATTACTTATACGTATAAAATACTTACAAATACATTTTTTGAGTACTCGTACCCGTAGGTCGTACGAGTACATATATTTTTTTTATTCGTGCCCAGCTCTGGTCTTAACCAAACGCTTCTAGATGAAATAGTTTACAATATTGATCGATTTAATTATTGCTGAGTGAAAACGTAACAATATTACGTTTTCATTTTTTATGCCTGATTATATCAGAATCTATCAGGCAAAACAATTACCACTCAGTATTAAGTTGTTTTTTTGTAACTGAATTTTTATTGAAATAAATAAACAATTAGGTACTTAGCATTAAATTTTTTAAATTTATTCCATTGAAAAGGTATATTGCCATCGGTAATGAAATAGGCTGATAATTTGTTCCTCATCATCTCTGCAGCTCTTATCTGTACATATTTGAAGCCACTCTTCTTACATCCAAAAAATTTAAATTCTGATTTCTTCTCCATTCTTTATCAATTACTCTCCCATTCATATCTTCTGTTATGTATCAACAATAGTAGGTACTGTTAAAATAATTTCTACTTCCAGTTTTGATTTTGGAATTTATGTAAGCAAACTGTTGCTTTAATTATGGCAAATTAATTGATTGCCTATAATTGGACTTCTGTATATACGCCATCGTGCAGCCAGGATACCTGAAACATTTCTATTACTCGACGTGCTCTAAAGATTAGATTTAGATATAGTCTTTCTAAGGTCAGTTGAATTAAGGTGAAGATAAATCACAACTGGTAGCTGACTGGTGTGGTGACTGACTATTTTCATAAGAAATGCACTGCCACTAGTCATCCACTAGTTGCAATTTATTTTTACCTTGTTTCAATTGACTTTGGAAAGACTATTTCCCTTTTTTTATAATCGCCCTGGATATAGATACATGATAAATGTGGATAATGGAAAAGCTTCATCAGCTGCAATATAATAATTCATATTTCCCTGCTCACCTAATGGCGATGGTTCAGGAAATTTTATGCTTCCTGAATTGATATAGCCTTTCCAATATTTGAGTTTTTGAATATACTGCCATCACTATGACGACCTTCACCCCTAATGTCAACAAGTGTAAATCTGTAATTTGCATGACCACCAATCATCATCAATCAGAAAATTCCATATGAATCAACCCATTTTCTACATGTATGACTGCGTGTTTGCCATCAATAGCACCAACACAATGTAGGAACTCCCATTTTTCATCAAATTGATTTGCAATATCCAATATCCCAAATTGCATTCCAAGTTTCCCTAGCAATATCAATATGGGTTACTGCAGTTGGTGAAATACGAAAAGAATAAGAAATCGACACCATGCTGTCTCCACTGGCAAGATACCTAATATAAATTTAAAACAAGTGTTTAGGCTCACGAATATGGTGTAATTTGTCCAATCTTGGACCTATAATACAAAGCAATTCTTTAAGGTTTCCTTAAGGTCTACGACCTCGTCGTTCTAATCTATCACACTCGTTATTGTAATCATGCTCATAAACGCACTTGTATAATGTAAATAACTATTTGGATTCATCATATGCTACTTGCAACAATTTTCAATTTTATTTCTAGTCGGGTTCTAGTTAGTTCCTTGGGGCATTTTCTCTGAGAGTTGCGATTTTTTTTCGATTGAAGTAGATAGGCCAAGGTTTGTGTTTATAACTTCTAATGGTGTATTAACCTTGAGTAATGCATATAATTGCATTTTCAATTTTTGTTGATTTCCCCTTAGTTTAATTTTGATCCTGTTTTGTTTCAGTTTAAGTTGGCAGATCATTAGGTGAAGTAAGTGGGGTAGGAGTTCGTGAACGTGAAATGCTTGGAGACAAAACAAAATTTGATACTGTGAATTGATGTTTAAGTGTGTCGCTGAGGAAATTCATAGTATTCCTAATTCATCAAAATATTCCCATTTTTTTCTTTTTGGTGGCAGAGGCCCCGCCTGGTGTACATTTCTCTTTTATGTGAACGAATATATCCCTCAAGGTTTTTCGTTTCCTCATCAAGAAATAAATTGAATAACTCGGGTTTTCCCCAAATTCCACAAAAATCTCTTGCCACATTTGCTTCCCTGTCACTTTTTAACGTTCTTTTATTGGCAGTCTTGAATCCCATAAAGGGGACCGTGATTGAATACATGATATGAGCAGCTCTTCAACAGAACATTCTTCTACAACTTCCTAACAACAATAATTCATTTAAAAATATGTAGGTACTTGAGATATGTATCTAAATCTAAAATTAATTCTTACCCTTTTTCCTATTCATTCTCATCGATGGCGACATTAAAAATACTTTTAAATTCTTCCATGACTTCTTATCGTGAAGAACGTAAAGCTTATTGTTTATAGTAGCTGTAAATTTAAATATGTGATATAAACAAGGTTTATGTCCTTTGCATTTGGCGCCAAACCAATAACAATCTGTTAAAAGTCAAATCTCAAAAATTTACGTAACGTGCAAACGTATGCATGAAAATTATAAACTTCTCAACGGACTAATTACTGTCAAAACGGAAGCGACGGAAGGGAAGAATGAGTTATGTAATCAGCTCTTACAGCAAACGGATGCATGAAAATTCACCTTTATACGCTAAGGTCGCTAAGTCTCTAAAGTTGTATGAGGGGGGGGATAGTTTTTGAGAAGTTTCACTTCTACCACGTGTACATGATTTTTTTTATTTATTTTATAACTCTGGACAAGCAGGAAGATTCAAATGAAAATTCGCGAAATATACCTTCAGATTTAAAGATCGTAGATGGAAAAAACAAATTATATAGATTGGAGACCATGGAATCATGTGCGAAAAATAAATGGACCACAAATGCGATGTTCAAATTATTTAAAGATAACACGCTGGAGTATGATAAATGCCATTCGCCCGCGATGGAGAAGTCTGGAGGAATGAAGGAAAGGCCTGTATTCAGAGATGGACGTGCGAGGCGACTATGAACTAGCTACATAGTAGGATAAACGTAGCTGCATAACATACGTGGAGGTGCAACAAATCAACAAGCTGATTTCAGCGGAAATGTTTAGTAACTGACCTCCTATTTAACCTCCCAAAAGTCCCAATCAGTCCTAGGGGTGGAAGGTTGAAAAAAATGGCCGCCATCTTGGATTTTTTTGTTTTTTCCAAATATCTCAGTTTCTATTAGTTTTTTTCGAGAAAACTCAAGAAACCTTTTTTGTTGAGAATTTAATTCTCTATAAAAAGTGTCTCTGCGTTTTTTTTTAACATGAAGGATAACGGAGATATAGTTTTTTTTTAGAATCTGATTTATAAATTTTTCACTTTTAGCGCCTTTTTTGATAAAATGTGAAGTAAGTGCAGCTATTTAACAAATCATCCCATTATTAATGATTAAATTATATCCTAAACTCGATTTCGTGACAACCAAAAATGCCCATGACACACAACCGCGTATTTTACCGCGCATTCACCTTCAGGATAAATATGGATCAGGTGGAATCACCGCCACGCGACAAGTGGCGTTTCCAAACGGCCAGCGGGTGAATTATAACACATTGTTTTCTGATTTTCGTGCAATCAGAGCAGTTGATTCTTGTTAGTATGTTGCATATAATTAATTTTAATTGAATATTCTTTTAATGCGTAACAGGCTGGATTTACTAAGGTATTAGACGTTGTGAGACAGTGGGTCGATTCCGAACTGTAAAGTGTATATTATATTATAGTAAAAGCGGACATGACTTCGTTAAAAAACAATATGCTATGTGGTATTTGTGAGAAAGACAATAATGAAAAGACAGTGCAGGTGACTTTGAAAGGATTGCCCAGTTTAGTGAAAGCAAGTAAAATTCGCGGGGATGGTAAGTGGGAAGATTTTAGTGAAAATTTGCCGGTCGTACATGCAGCATGTAGACGGAAATACACGCATCCAACCGAACTTTCCCAGTTTAGTAGAGAAGTTCCTGGTCGTGTTGAAGTGTCATAACCGCCAAAAATAAAAAGTACACTGCGATCAAAAACTGAGAATGTTTTTAATTTCAAGACATATTGTTTTTTTTGTGCCGAGAACATTGATATAAACCTTCTGAAGCAAAAAAACAAAATTCAAACAATCCGCTCAGTTGCTACACTACATATTAAAGACACAATTCTTGAATGCTGCAAGGAAAGAAATGATGAGTGGAGTAGAGAGGTGCATAGAAGAATATGCAATGAAGGGGATCTTGTAGCAGCTGAGGCAAAATATCATGTCAATTGTTACAGCCTTTTTCTAAAGGGAAAAAGCCTTGGAAAAAGCAACACACAAGCAGGAAGACCTATAAATGATATTTTTGAGAACGCTTTCACGATGTTATGTCAATATCTTGAAAATGACACTGAAAATTGCCAATTTTCCCTGAAAGAATTACTTGATAAAATGAAGACTTATTTACCTCCCGACACTGAGCCATGGTCAGTTTATTTTTTCAAAAATAGATTGAAAAAAAAATATCATGAGAAAATATTAGCTACGGACATTCCTGGAAAACCTTCAGTGATATGTTTAAAGAATAATTGTGAAAAACTTGTTTCCGATGAGTGGTTAAAACAAAGGGATAGTAGAAACAATACACCTGAAGAAGAACGTGTTTCCATTCTAAAGGCAGCCGCCCAAATATTAAAAGAGGACATTAGGGGAATGGTTACTAATTTGGATGAGTATCCTTCTTGCGATGATATCAAAACAGGTGGAAATTCATTTTTTCCTAATTCACTTGACGTGTTCTTTGAGGAGTTGGTCCTAAAAGGCAGGAAAAGCCCACTATATCAGACTAAAGTGTCTGCAATGAAAAACTTTATTATCTCTTTGGTACGTGTTAAATCCTTCCTTTCACCAGTGATGTTTGGTCTGGGAATTCAACTGCACCGCAAATATGCCTCAAGATATTTGATTGATACACTTGCAGCTCTTGGTGTTTCCGTGTCATATTCGGAATGTTTGGCATTTGAAAACTCAGCGATCATTAATCATAAAGACTCTATATTTGACGAAAGTTTTGTACAGTTTGTATATGATAACGCAGACTTTAACATTCGTACCATGGATGGACATGGGACATTCCATTCTATGGGAGGAATAATGTGTTGTTCGCCTTCTACCGGCTCTAATATTCAAAGTATTCCTAGGCCAAAAAATCGGGTTCTTGCGTCAAATGTTGGAGAATTTGGGAGTCTACGTTTACAGGTAAGATCTTAAAAAATATTTAAATTATACAAGGTAAAACTTTGTTAAATCATCAATCTTTTTCTTTGCAGTTCTACAAAACACCTGCCAAAAGCGGACTTGGTCGTATTAAAATGGAATCCATTCAAGAGGAACCAAATGCTGAAAATGAACGTTTACCGGTACTTCTAGACACTCTGTGGCTAACTGGTAAGGTTTTGTCTTTTTCCTCAATTTCCTGGACTGGTTTTATGTCTACTCTTGAGTCTGACTCCTTGAACGTGGATACAAGTATTATACCGTTACCCTTTATCAACTTGGATCCTGGCAACTTGAACACAATTTATACAGCTCTTTCATTTGCGGCCGAAAAAAGCAAACGGTATGAAAAATCTTGTATCGTAACGTTTGACAAACCACTTTTTCAAAAAGCTGTAGATATCGTAGAAGGCTCAAATAAAAGTGATATTGTGTCTTCTGTGATTGTCAGGCTCGGAGGTTTCCACACTCTGATGTCTTTTATGGGAAGCGTTGGAAAAATCATGGCCGGAAGTGGCATAGAAGAATTGTTGACAACCGTATATCCAAAAAATACTGTACCCCATATGATGAGTGGCCATGCTTATTCTAGAGCTTTACGAGGACATTTTCTAATACATGAAGCTTTAATTTTAATTATGTTGGATGACCCAGAAATTCTCTCATTATCCGAGGAAGACATTCAAAATATTCATAGTTTGTATAATGATACCAAACTCAATGTTATCAAAGAAAATGGATTACTTATTGAAGTTCAAGAAAAAGTCTATGGACGAATTGATGATTTAGCTAACACTAGCAGAACTGGAAAGTTGTGGGCAAATTACTGGAATTTGATCAATTTAATAAAACTTTTTGTTCAAGCTGAAAGAATGGGAATTTGGTGGCTTCATATTCACTGCATTAAACGGATGATTCCTATATTTTATGCTACTGGACATAATAACTACGCCAAGTGTGCACATCTTTATTTGCTACAAATGAAAAAATTGAAATCTATCAATGAAGAAGAATATTGTCGTTTCGTAAATCAGGGATTATTCACCATTCGCCGAAGAAGTAAATTTTGGTCAGGAACATGGAGCGACATGGTAATTGAACAGAGCCTCATGAGAGCAATGAAAACTCAAGGAGGCCTGACTCAAGGCCGTGGATTTTCTGATGCCTCTTTGGCCAGATGGATATCAAGTATGTCATCGTGTATCCCTATTGGTATATCTTTAGAAGAGTTTGTTCAAGTAAAGTCAATATCTTCAGATCAACATATTGAATTAACAAATGCCCGACAACGCCGAAATGAAAGTGATTTAAAAAAAATTCTAGAGTGGCTACAAGATCACAACCCCTTCAAATGTTCAGAGCTTTTGTCTATTTCAACAGGAATTATTGCTTCTCCTGATGTAAATTGTGATAAAGCTCAGGAAATCGGAGAAGTCATTTTCAATAGTCACATTGAGAAACATTTTACTGATATTCAGTGTAAAAGAAAGGACAATATCAAAAATTTGGCTTCTATGAATAGTAGCAATAACTACATAATACATATATAGACTTCAACCCGATGCAACTTTTCAACAGAATAATTTGTTCAAATAAAACACCAGAAGAAATAAAACATTGCTTCAAATATGAGTTATCGCCGTATCCTTTATCACTTTTTAAAGATGGTAATCTAAGAAAAGGAACAAAATCTCAACTTCTTCAGGAGCTTGATAAGATCTATAAGCCAGAAAGTATGCCCCATTCAGACACTGTTTATGTTATAGATGGAGGATTTCTGCTACACAAAGTCTCATGGCAAAAACCAGCTTCATATAATGACATCTTCCCTCAATATGTAAATTATGTTATTCACAACTATAACAAGGATTGTGTCATAGTCTTCGACGGCTACACGAAAGAGGTTATATCAACCAAAGAAAGTTTACAACGATGCAGATCAAAGGGAAGCATAGAAATTTCCATCCATGCCCAAGCTTCGGTAATTATACCACAAGTGGATTTTTTGAAGAACAGTCAAAATAAGACACAGTTTATAAATATCCTTCGAACCTACTTTGAAGATGTAGGTATAACTGTGCATCAAGCACCCAGGGATGCTGATTATCTTATTACAATGACAGCAGTAGAACTATCCATGATAAAAAAACACGTCACAGTTGTCTCAGAGGACACCGATATAATGGTTTTGCTTATACATCATGCAAAAAATAAAAATATATCCATGCTTCGCCCAGGGAAAGCAGCAAAAGGTAACAAAGTATCAACGATATCTGGCATACAAGATAAACTTGGACATCTGAAAAAACACATATTGTTTTTGCATGCCATATCAGGATGTGATACCACATCTTTCCTGTTCAATAAATCCAAAAAAACTTGTCTTTCGCTACTTAAGGAAGATAATGATCTCTCCCAAAAATTTGACGTATTTTTGAATAGTAATGCAAGCAGAAATGATTTTCTTGAGTCGGGATTAAATTTTATTTTGAGGCTGTATCGCTGCCCAAAACATATCAAAGATATTAATTTGTTGAGGTATACTTTATTCAATAGGACAGCATCAAGGCAAGGACTCAAGTCCACATTTAATTTGGCTACTTTGCCCCCAACCGCAGACTCTGCAGAACAACATGTTCTCAGGACATACTTTCAGGTATCACCCGTGAACTATAAAAATAACAAGTTTTAGAAAATATGTTCTATTTTTCAGATTCAAGAATGGATTGGCAACAACTTGGACCCTCTGCAATACGGGTGGAAGAAAAATAAGCAAGGTAACCTGATACCTGTACAATGTAAGGAAGCTGTAGTTCCCCCTGATCTATTGAAACTGATTTTTTGCAATTGCAAAGAAAGTAACTGCTCCAAAAACTGTTCATGCAGAAAACTTGGACTTAAGTGTTCTTCCAAGTGTGGGCAATGTTACGGAATCAGTTGTTCGAACTGTTGTTTCGTGGTAGATGAGGAGGAGGATGACGGTCTGGATGACGTCACACAGGAACTTTTTGAAGTTTAATTTGAGATTATTGAATACATAATATGTACACTATTATTATAAGCTTCATTATTTTTGTATTATACGATTGTTCATTTATGAAAAATTGATATTTAATTCGAATGGGATAAAAGTAAAGAAATGTTTGAAATATTCACCATAAAAAGCTCTGTATCTCCCTTATCCTTCATGTTATAAAAAAAACGTACAGACACTTTTTATAGAGAATTAAATTCTCCACAAAAAAGGTTTCTTGAGTTTTTTCGAAAAAACTAATAGAAACTGAGACATTTGAAAAAAACAAAAAAATCCAAGATGGCGGCCATTTTTTTCAACCTTCCACCCCTAGGACTGAATGGGACTTTTGGGAGGTTAAATAGGAGGTCATTTACTAAACATTCCCGCTGGAATCAGCTTGTTGCTAATTTGTTGCACCCTGACCCCCCAGATTGACTCAGCTAACAGTAAAAACTTCCATTTAATTTTTTGTAAATACCTCAAATTATTCTTCCATATGAAAATTAGTATCTATACATATTATATCGCTCGCAAAAACATTCAGCCTCGGTTTGAATTAATAGAAAATAAAATAAAAATATAAATGTATGGCAAAATTATTAATTTATTGCTGATAATATTTATTAATAAATTTAATCAAAAATAAATATTATATTTATAATTGTTTTATAGTGTTAGTTTTTATGTGATGTTGGTTAACAAATTTTACGGATGATATTATACGTTTCATATTGATAAACTTAGTAATTATTGAAATTCATTTATCATTATTTGAATGGAATAAATTCGATGTCCACATTTTTTATTAAAAAATATCAGACGATATTATAAACAAGTCAGGTATTTGCAACGCTCGATTTCATAAAATGGATTTATGGGTGTCGACACAAAATTGGAAAATAGATAATTTTGTGTAAAAAAAAAACAAACTATTCATGAGTATGAAAAAAGTTAATTACAAAAAAAATCGAGGGCAGTCATTACCGTCCGCGGTGACAAAAGAGCGTCGTCCTAAGTGACAGGTGGCGTGACGCCGAGTCGCGGTCACGTGACTGCGGCCGTCGTTTTTGTCCATTTCCCGTTGGAAAAGTTAACTGATTATTATCGGGGCGGCAACGGTAATTTACTTATTGGGTAATTTACGGTAGGAGATTGACTTTTCATGGGAAAAATATTGACGATCAATAACTAGGGTGAATTTTCTATTTTTGGAACTAAATACTAGGTACATATTTTTAGTTTTCGACACTGATGGAAATTGTGTATCAATTTACTTTTCTTTCCCTGTGGTTTTGCATTAAGGATGTGGGGGCTAGCTCATTGCTTCTCAACCAATGCTTTCCCACATATTTACCGAATATTAAATAATCCGCCATTTGGTCTAGAAGTTATCCGATTTTCTTCTAGTGTCTTGTTCATCTCTTTTGACTCTTTTCCACTGTTCTCGCATCTAATTTTGCTGTTGTGCTAGTTAGGTGTGCAAAAATCCTCAATGTCTCCGTTTCTTTACAATATGAGTATTATCCCCACTCAAACCTTCTGCTGTATTTTCTTCTTTGTATACTTGATTCATTCCTTATCTATCATATCTCGTGTCATTTAATCATTACCTAGCGCTTTTCCAGCTTCCATTTTATTTATTGACTAATATCTTTCAGCCTTATTGACCCTATTTCATCTTCCTCTAGTATGTTGCATTTCCGAATTGTCTTCTTGTTTTGCACGTATTTTCTTCCCAAGAGATCTATACTATAATAGTCGTCATGTTTACATAATGTTTTTTTTCCTGGTATTATTTCTGCATCGTCCATCAGAGGATCTATAATAAATGACAACAATAAAGCACTGTTTCTATGGAGAAGTGTAATATTTTCTACACATCATTACCAGATATATTCCGTCATGAATAGTTACCGTGCAACAGTAAAATTTTTAAATGGTGCTTTATTTAATCGACAAAAACATAGCTTTCTTTGTTTTGTGGTTTACTTGTTCCACCTTTGTCCAAGTTCTAGTTTCAGTTGGATTATGAAAAGTGATATTGAGTACCTATCTCCCGAGTCATTCTCGTGTAAAAGGTTGAACGCCTCCCGGTTGTAGGAGAAAATCAATAGATGCTCAAAAGTGATTGAAAAAATTTCAAATATAATAGGGTCGTTTCATGATTTTTTTTTTTTTTTTATTGAATTAAGCACATCAAAAACTATTCTTGGTTTTTTCCCCGCATTTTTTAGAATAATATTAAAGGAGATATTTCAATTTGAAATTATACTATTTTCCGTTATTTTTTAAAATGGTTTGACGTCATAAGGCGCACTTGCGCCCTGTATTTCTGAATTTAAGTTTGCAGAATTTGCTAGTTGTCTAGTTGGCTACCCTGCGACTGGCATATGTCCGTCTTCTTTTAGAGGTTATGTCAGTTATTATGTTATTTATTTTGATTCGCCTAGACTGGTTGATTTATAAAATAAAAAATAAATACTTATTTCACCCGTTTATTTGTTTGGTTTATGTCAGAAGATGGATAGTGGATTTATTAAAGCCTCCAGCGAAAATTTACCCAAACTAAATTATGTGATGCTGCAAGAGTTTTTTGCCAAAAATACGGATTATTTAAGTGCAGAAATAAGAGGAGTCAAAACAGAAAGGTGAGTAATGAAATATTGGCATAATTATTGTATTGGTTTAGCTTCGTCTCATTATTATATTACATTTTTACTAGCAGGGTAACAGTTTTATAGTTTCATATATTTTTGACGATGCTATTGGGTGTGTGCAGTTGAAAAGAGACAGCAGAATATCCTCTGTTAGGAGCATCGCCAGATGGAATAAGCAAAGAATTTTTGATTGAAGTTGAATGTCCTAGCAAGGAGGAGACTGTGAAAAACTACATTAAGAAAAATGAAAATATAATGACGAAATACATGTGCCAACTTCAGCAGTGGCGTAGCCAAACCAAACGTGGCCGTCGGCGACATCCGAATTGCGAGGCCCTTTTTATGTAGGGTAGCAGTGGCGAATCCACGAAGGGGGGGGGGGGTAATGGAGGTAATGTACCACCCCAGAGAGGCCCAAGAAAATTTTAATTATTAAAAAAACACTCAAATTATTTTTTTTGAGGCTTAAAATACGTTTTGAGCGTGGTACCCGAAAAAAAATTCTTTTCCGGCCGCAACTGCGGTGGGCACAGACCACGAGCCACTGGTTAAGAAGCTCTACCCCCCCCCCCCCCCCCAGAATGGTACTATAGATCCGCCACTGTAGGTTGGTCATATTTCTTGTGAAAAAGCTGGATATAACGTCAAGGACGGGTAGCCGAAGGGTAACCGCCGAAGGCGAGAATTTTTTGAGAGTCACGCCACTTTTTCGGGCATATCAACGGTATTCGATAACAATTTTTAGTCAAAAATATCAATATTATTCCGCTAACAAATCCTTCAAACAAAAAATAAATTTCTCATTTATTACCAGTATTACACAAACATGGACCGACAAATTCTGGTAGAAATCAGGCAATTTTTCAGGAAACCTATAGTTATTTACATTCCAAGCTGCGAAAGCGTACTTTTAGGTGCGAAGTGTATTCAAATAGCCGAGGCGAAGCTAAGCGCATCCGAGGCTATTTGAATACCTCCGAGCACCTAAAAGGGCTTTTGCAGCATGTAATGTATTAAACTTTTCATTCTTCCCCTTCAAAAAGCGTGAATAGGCATGCGAAAGTGAAACATGCTAGTAGCGAAAGTGAAAGTAACTACTAGCATGTTTCACTTCCGCTTTCGCTCGCCTATACAATCTATTTTCGTAGGGGGGAGAATGAAAAATAATTTCCGAATCTTTGTATGTTAGAAGGTTTGCTGTACAAACATCGGCGTAGCTAGCCTCCGTGTTCAGGGGGGGCCATGGCCCCATGTGTATATTAGATCAAAAAAAAAATGCAGTAACGATATAATAGTGAATATAGTTTTAGAATTTCTGGCATTGATATGGATATTGTTGTGTAGAAAACTGTAGTATCTTGACAAAAATTGGTATAGTCTTTTCCCAAAAACGTTGAATAAAAAATAAATTTTTAAATCGAACAAAATAGAAAAAAATCTTCATAAAACAAAAATAAATATACACATTATAATATCAAAACAAAAAATAAAAAGTACTTATCAAGATTAAAAAATGGTTAAGATCGATTCAAAGGATAAAGAATCGATTACAAAACAATAAATCTATAGTAAAAAAATCGATTCAAAAAATCGATTAATCGTATTGAAAAAATCGATCTTCAAGATTATCGATTAAAAATCGACATGCAGATATTCTTCAATCTCCTAAAGGTACGGGTCCACACTTGAACATTTTAACCCGACCAAACCGGTTAAAATGCTCTAGTGTTGACCCAGCTTAAAAACTTGCCACATCTACGGACCGCAGTGTCGTTTCTATTGTTGAATTGTTGATTTTTTACCAAATGTCACAACATGAACGAAAAAAAAAAACAATTTCAATTGGCATGATTTCATGCTCTTCTAGTCTGGGTACTTACATGAATTAAGATTATTCTATACAAAATATAAGTAATTTCAGCTACTAATTTTTATTATTGATACACAACTTTTCAACTTTTTTTTAATTAGAATATTTCAGGGGGGCTGAGGTACCACAGGGGGGCCAACCCCCCCTGCCCCGCCCCCCCCGCCCTAGCTACGCCAATGTGTACAAAGTCAAATGCTGGACGGACTTTCAACATGCTGTATGTACAATA